GGGATGTTTTACCTTTCCTTCTGATGATGGTCTTTCTCCGCATGTCCTTCATCTTCCTCATTTTTTATTATTATTTTATATTGTCAGACTTATTTCCCAATATTTCATTCGAAGACACCTTGTACGCATGCAAGAATTAGATGGGAGGTGAAAGAGCTTTTTTCCTTAAATTGTATTTTTTTTTTGAAATTAAATTAAGACGTTGATTTCCCCCCATTATTTACATGTATGCCTAATTCTTATAATTATATGAACACTACTCTTAACTTAGTTATAAATTTAAATTTAATTATTTTTATTTTTAAGTAGCTCCTACTTCTGGTTCTTAATATAAGACTTTGTTTAACTTTTATTTTGGTCCTAAATATAAGACCCCAATCCAATTGGTCTCTCATATTCATGTCTTTTTTTTTTTCCCAAGGTAGTCCTTCTAGCAATAGTAATTCTAGCCAACACACTTGATTAGCAAGGATATTTTAGAAAAGATAATACCTATTTATTACAAATAATCAACTTAACTTTTTTTCTTAATCTTTTCAAATTAGTCAACTAGCTCTTATAACACTACAAAAAATTCGACTTTCAGCGGCGACAAATGTCGCCGCTGAAAGTCCAAAAGTCGCCGCTGAAAAGCTTCAGCGGCGACATTTTGTCGCCACCAAGTCGTTGCCGTAGCGACTGTGGCTGAAACTTATCAGCGGCGACAAAAAAAGTCGCCGCTGAAACTGGACATTCAGCGGCGACACAAAGTCGCCGCTGAAACTGGACATTCAGCGGCGACATTCTGTCGCCGCTGAAACACCTTTCAGCGGCGACATTCTGTCGCCGCTGAAAGCTGATGAGTTTGCCACTCAGAAGTGTCGCCACTGAAACATGAGAATCAGCGGCGACTAATGTCGCCGCGGAAGCTTGCTTCGGCGGCGACTAATGTCGCCGCGAAGCTTGCTTCGGCGGCGACATTGTGGTCGCCGCCGAAGCTTGATTCGGCGGCGACATTTTGGTCGCCGCAGAAGCTTGATTCGGCGGCGACATTTGGTCGCCGCCGAAGCTTGATTCGGCGGCGACATTGTTGTCGCCGCCGAAGCTTGATTCGGCGGCGACATTGTGGTCGCCGCCGAAGCTTATTCGGCGGCGACATTTTGGTCGCCGCCGAATCAAGCTTCGGCGGCGACAAATGTCGCCGCTGATTGTGATTTTAATTATTTTTATAATATATTAATTCTGCAAAAACTTTTATTTATATTGCTGATAAATATTATTAAAAGGTTTAATAAAAATAAAGTAATTAACACACAAATATGGTATATTAAATAATAAGATTTATAACCATGAAAGTGTTCTTTATGTCTCTAACTGAAAAAAAAATTGTTCAATTAAAAGATACATTACATAATACAGAAGAAAAATTACGTAGAGGGATCAATATTAGGGACGCTAGAAGTAGGGGTATCTGCAGGAGCATTTAACTGCATCTTTTGCATGAAAGCAGTGAACTGAGCTTGTATTCTCTGTTCCATCAACTGCTCCATCCTTTGTTCAAGTTGCGTACGCTCTGCTTCCATCTTTGCTCGCTCTGCAGCACGTTCTGCTTCTATCTTTTCTCGCTCTGCTGCACGTTCTGCTTCCATCCTCTCTCGCTCTGCAGCAAGATTTGCTTCCATCTTTTCTCGCTCCTCTTGAAATCTTCTTTCAAACTCTTCATACAATTGGGTGCGTACATTCTCAAGTGAATCACTAGATTGAGTGTGAAGTCTCTTCCTCCGAGGCTCTGCTCCATAACCTTTTCCTCTAACATATCCTGACCTCTCACCAAGAACAGCTGTCAATATCTCATCAGAGGTCATTCGAGCATCACTCTCTAAGGATTGCTGCTGAACGAGCTCATGCATGCGATCCTATAGTTACAAATTACAAATTACATGAATGAAAAAAATATAATTATTTAATTAAATATAAAGGACAGATATTTATACATACATGAATCTCTTCAGATCGCGAATCCACCCACTGTAACTGGCCATCTGCAGTCTTCCTAGTATGTGTTATCTCCCAAACCTGATCTGGGGGGGCAGGCTGTCCAGTGGTGGGGTCTCTCTATAAAGCATAATATACAAAAATAACAAATCTTGAAAAATAAAAAAATGGATAAAAAAATAAAGTGTAGTGAAGAGGCAACTTACTACAGAGAACTCAACCTCCGCAAATGATCGGGGACCACATGTATGCTTTGTTACTTGTTTTGCTCGGTTTTGTGTGTTTCTAGCACTTTTGTTCTACATCAAATTTGAGTAACTACTAAGTATGTTGAATGATATAATTATATTATTCATTTAAATAGTTAGTATTTAGTAAGATACCTTAAATGGATCTGACTGAAAATATGTCAATAACCACTCCCAATCTTCAAAACTTACAGTTTGAGGTGGATTTGCCAACCTTTCTTCATCAGTGTCAAATTTCTTATAGTGGGTATGCAAGTTGGTCTTCCAATTTCTGAAAGCATTTTGCAATGTGGTCACTATCATCTTTTGAAACTTCTCTTCATCTGTTGCAACAGCAGGTTGAAATTTTTCCTAAAATAAAAATCAATATCAGCATAAGTACTTGTTTTGAAAGCATAAATAAAGTAGGATATACATTTACTAAACATAAATTGTACCTTCACTTTTAAAATCATAACATCAATATAATTTGTGTAAACATTCCTCCATTCAGCACAATCCTTCAAAGATATTGTGGTTCTAATAACATAACCACAATAATTAGCTAGCTCTCTTGCTCCTTGCCCTACTGCTCTTGTCATGTCATCTGTGAAAGTAAGCTGAATCTTTCCTCCAAATTTAGTCATTAAGTCCACATTGAGCGACTTATAAACTCCTCTACCTTTCTTAATTATATTAGAAGAGCCTATCATTCAAGTGAACAAATAATATAGTCAAAAGTATGTGATGCTAATTAGTTACTTGTATTATATAAAAGTAAAGAAAATTTACCTGCACTACTGTTTTGAGTAGGGGGAGAGTCGGCAGGCAATTCCTCAAATTGTACTTGGAGTGGTCGAGGTGAAATGGTATGTCCAATTGCAGGGGTAGAGCTAATACCTCCACTACTTGTGCTGCCATGTCGTGTGAAGGAAGAGCTTCTCCCACCCCGTCCTCTCTTTAGCCCTGACATATCCTGCAATAATGTACAAAATTTAGATTGTTTTTTATGTTAATAAAACTACTCTTTATGAAGATAGTATATATTAAAAAAATTACAAAATCTAACTTGTTAAGAATATATTAATAAAAACTACCATTTATGAGGATTGTAGTTTCATTCTGTTGAGTCCTCTGTGGTACTATCACTTGTATCATCATCTTCTATTTCACCTTCAATGTCACTTTCTTCTTCAGTATCACTATCATTACCATCAAGCACATCTTCTTCATCACTATCGTCATGAACTAGTGAATTAGATTCACTATCATCAATAAATCCAATCTCCATATTACTTCTTTGTGATGGTTCTCCTACTTGAATGAAAGTTTGGGGTTGTACATCATCTCCACACAAGTCAATAAAGATATCATGCTGTATAAGACTTGCATTTAAATCAACCACCAATTGTTGATAAGGCTCTTCATCAACCATTGCAATATTAACATCACTACCAACATTAACATTCTCAATCGGCATATTGAACAAGTCACGTGGATTCGTTTTGACAACAACAATCCAACCCGGGTCAACAATATCATCCACATAAAAAACTTGCTCTGCTTGAGATGCTAAAATAAATGGTTCATTAGTTTGTAATGAACATTGAGTGTTGATACTTGTGAACCCATACTTATCCACCTTATATCCTTCGCCATAGTTAGCGACATCCCACCAGTGACACTTAAACAAGTATAATTTTTTATTCTCTATGTAAGATAACTCATAAATATGCTCTAACACACCATAATATTCTTTATTAGCATCAGTGTCATCACCCTTGGCCATGACTCCATCATTTTGAGTTCTTTTTCCTATTGCCCGATCTTTTGCATGAAAACGAAATCCATTGCCTATAAACATAGAGTAACGATTGACCACTCTCGATGGACCAATTGATAAACTTTGAGTTCAGGACTTACAAAGCCTTGTGTGGACAATGCTATCACCTATTAAAGAAGAACCATTCCTTCAATATGCATTAATATTATTAATATAAACTTCAAAGCTCAAAGTCTAGAACTTACTCGTGAACGGAACCAATCAGGAAACTCTTTATATTGCTTTTGCTCACTCATTAATCCCTGAGCTTCAAGTTCTCTCCTGTGTTCCCTACATGTTTTTACACAAGTGAGAAAAATATAAATTATAACAAATTCATTCTAGTTAAATTAAGTTGACGTACTCTATGAATGGCCAAGTTTCTTCACAATTTTGGAGCACATACATTCTTGCCTGACAATACTCTTCATAAGAAAGAGAGACTGACTCAAAATGTCCTCTAGCTTCACCACTTTTCTTAAACACCGAAAGCTCATTACTGATATTATTATCACTGATGTCATCATTCCGATGCTGCACATTAAATTTAGTGGGAATGTCTTTCAAGTATCGTGAGCAAAAAGTTAGACTTTCATCTGCCAAATATCCTTCTGCAATTGATCCTTCAGGTTGGGCCTTATTGCCAACATATGACTTTAGAGTTCGCAAATACCTACAACAAAAAGTCAAGCCTTATTGAATGGTTTTAAATGATAGATTATAAATATAATTGTAAAGTAACCTTGTTAAAGCGAATTACCTTTCTATGGGGTACATCCAACGATACTGAACTGGCCCACCAACTTTTGCCTCTCCCGCCAAGTGTATAGGCAAGTGAACCATTACGTCAAAAAAGGCAGGTGGGAATATGGTCTCTAACTTGCACAGAGTTATTTCTATTTGACTTTGAAGTTTGTCAAGTTCTTCACATGTTAAACACTTTGAACAAAGATTTTTAAAAAATCTTCCCAATTGTATTATTGGTTCACATACTTGGGGAGGCAGTAACCCACGTATTGCAATTGGAAATATTTCCTGCAATAGCACATGGTGATCATGACACTTCAAACCAAATATTTTTCGCTCGTGAATATTGACACACCTTGAGATATTAGATGCAAAAGCATCAGGTACTTTTAAGTTAGCCAAGAATTTGCAAAGGGATTGCTTCTTTTCAGAAGATAATGTGTAAGGAGCAGGAGGCTTATAAACATCATTACCATTCTTAATCGGGTGCAAATGACTCCTAATGCCCAAATCCACCAAATCATACCTACTTTTTAATGTGTCCTTTGTCTTTCCAAGTAAATCCATCACTGTCGATACAATATTATCAGAAACATTTCTTTCTATATGCATCACATCAAGATTATGTCGTATCAACAAATTTTTCCAATAAGGCAATTGGAAAAAAATGCTTCTTTTCCTCCAATTATAAGCCTTACTATTTGTAGGGCGTTTTCGTTTTTGGCCTTTTCCAAATGATATATTACCCAATTGTTCTAATTGCATAAGTGCATCATCTCCAGTTAATGGAATTGGTGGAGCTCTGAGTTCTTCTTTTCCATCAAATGATTTTGCATCTTTGCGCCATGGGTGATTTTGTGGAAGAAAACGCCTATGACCCATATAAGATAACTTGCTCCTTAATGAAATGCAATGCGTGTCTTTGTGACAACAAGGGCATGCAAACTTGCCTTTAGTTGACCATCCTGAAAGATTTCCATATGCGGGGAAATCATTTATCGTCCACAACACTGCTGCATACATCATAAAATTTGATTGAGAAAATGCATCATATGTTTGCACCCCTACTTCCCACAATTGTTTCAGCTCCTCAATCATTGGTTGTAAGTAAACATCTATTTCATTACCTGGACACTTTGGACCAGGAATAAGAAGTGTCATCATAAAATATGGGCTTTTCATGCAAAGCCATGGTGGCAAATTATATGGTACCAAAACTACAGGCCAAATGCTATGATTGGCACTCATATTCCCAAAAGGTTGAAATCCATCACTTGCCAAACCCAATCTAACACTTCTTGGATCAGTAGAAAAACTAGGATATTGTTGGTCAAAGTGTTGCCAAGCAAGAGAGTCAGCTGGATGTCTCAATACACCATCATTTGTGTGCTTCTCCTTATGCCACCTCATTTCTTTAGCAGTGTCTCTTGCCATATAAAGCCTTTGTAACCTAGGTATTATCGGAAAATGCCTTAAGACTTTCTGGGCAATTTTTTTTCCTCTTTGCCTGTTCAACTTCCATCTAGACATCTTGCACTTAGGACATGATTCTTCTTTTGCATGTTCCCCCCAGTATAATATGCAATCATTTCCACAAGCATCAATTTTATTGTAATCTAAACCCAAATCACGAATTATCTTCTTAGCTTCATAAAATGAATTTGGCACTAAAGCCCCTTCTGGAAGAACATCTTTCAATAAGGCCAACAATGCATCCATAGATTTATTGCTCCAATGGTTAAGACACTTTAATTGAAGCAATTTTACAATAAAAGACAATTTTGACATTTTCTCACAACCTGGATAAAGTTCTGTCTCTGCATCCTTTAATAAGTCGTAGAACCTTTTGGCATGCACATTAGGCTCTTCATTCTCATTTAATTCATTGTTCATATCATTCATAGAAGGAACATTATATGCATCACATACCATCCTTGTAAGGTTCTCCCCATAAGTATCATGTTCTGCTGCTGTACTTGAAGTCTCACAATCACTTTGACATCTAATAATTTCCCCATGCAAGTCCCACACCTTATAACTATCCCAAAAACCCTTACTCAATAAGTCAACCCTGACATCTCTTCTCGCTTTGAATATGACATTCATACATTTTTTACAAGGACATCGTATTTTGCTTGTCACTCCATTCTGAGTAAAAGCCCATTCGAGAAAACCATCTACTCCTTTAATATATCTTAGGTTGCCTCTGTCTTTAATATCTAACCAACTTTTATCCATTTCTATTTCACAAAAGTTGAAGATTAATGTAAGAAAAGGAAAAACAATAAATATTAAAGTGCAAGAAATAAATAGAAATGAATAAGGTTGAGTTGACCAAGAAAAGAAAATTATATATGATATATATATGTATTTTACTTCTAAAAAGCTGATTCATTTCAACGCAGTATATAAGCCAAACTAACAAAGCATCACAGAGTCAACGCAAACGCAAGGTGAAGATGATAAACTGTTAACTTACAAGTGACAAGAGCTTTACTACTCGCCCTAGCTAGTAATCCTTTTTGCTTGCACTACCGTATATGCCTACAATAATAAGGACCAGACATTATAATGGGAAGGAAACCAAAGGTCCCAAGAAACCATTTCAAGAAAGCAATTACAATAATTAAACCAACATTATAAATTCAAGTATATATTTTTATTTGATCTAATGAGTGACTTGGTAGACATGGCAACTTTAGAGCACGATCTCAGAAAAGCTAGTTAGAAAACATGGGGGGAACAGGGGATGATAAGACGGATGCATCATACAAGGAAGAAGATGTGGGGGGATAAAAGCTGAACATCATTATTAGAACTGAGATCCAAAGCCCTTGTAATTATGGTTCCCCTGTTTTCACTTAACTTTTCCAAAAGATAATGCGTGTCATTGCCACTTACCAGCACCTGTATTATGTACAACAGATTGCCGCTACAATGAACTATAAGACAACAATTCTCTGTCTCCTAACCCTATCACTTCCGGAAAGAAATCAGTCTTTGATATCCAGATCCCATAAATAAACAATACCCAAATTAACACCAGTTCAAATATAATAAAGAAATTTAGAAACATTATCAATAAATATTAAACAGCTACTTAGGCGCCTCCCTTGCAACGAGCTTACTGCTTTCACTGTTTTAAATTTAAAAACTAGTTAGAGATTAAATTTAATCCTGAATGTATAATTCATTCTTTTAAATATCCCTATTAATAACACATCAAGAGATTTCCATTCACAGATAGTCAGAAATAAAAACAAAATTTTAAAAAAATCAACTCATATTTATTGAGTTGCTAATAACATACAAAATCCAGTCCCCCACTCAAATTACTTAATAAGAGGGACGTAGGCTTATCTATTCAATATGTTTTTTGGCAGAATCAGCCTGTAATACATGCTAACTTGTCATCATGATGGCTCAATAGATAATACACTGATGTTTACAGACCAAGTTTCACCAAGAATTTTCTCATCTTTGACGAGAACGTCCAAAATCAAATACTCCAACCTTATTTTATTTGAATTTATTATGATCAGAGTTACAAATCGTGTTGCTCAAGTATTCACATACAAATTCAATAAATAAGAACGGGTTTTGAAACAACCATGACAGCATATTCAAAGACGAAACTACAGAAGTATCAGCTACATCAGCTATACACAACCATGAACTTATACCAAACAAGATAATAAACACGAACTGGGTTGTACTAATCGGTGAGAGGCTCGACCTTACCTGGATCTGTACTAACGGTGACGAAGCTGGAGAGTAGCGGCGATCCGGCAACTGGCGAGCAAATAGCTGCGGCAGCAAGCACAAATTGAAGGACTAGGAGGCAAGCTTGGTTGCAACTGCTACGGAATGGGGTCGCCGGCGCTGCGCAAATCACGAAAGGGGATGGGGGAGAAGCAGGTCTGAGGTCCCTCTTCGCCGTCTTCGCTAATCGGTGAGGTCCCTCTTCGCCGTCTGCCGCTAGCGCTAGGTTTGGAGGGAGAGGGGATTTGGGGATGAACTTTCAGAAGTGCGCGGCGCTGGTCTGATCTGGTGAGAGTGGGGATTTGGGGATGAACTTTCAGAAGTGCGCGGCGCTGGTCTGATCTGGTGAGAGTGAGGGAAAAGTTAACTTTCAGAAGATTAGAATTGTTTTGGGTTTCAAAATAAGAAACTTTACATACAAAAACAATGCGCCAGCCTTGCCAATAACACACGTGGGTTCAGTGGTAGGGGAGTGTTAACTATTATAATTATCAGATCCCCTGTTCGAACCAGGTAACATTAAATTTTTTTTTAACCTTTTTGAGCCAAAATTAATGTGTAAAAATTGGACATTTTCCAGATTCGAACGCAGGACCTCTACACTAAAATGAACAAGCGTGGTCAGCCAGGCTAATGAATTTAATTGAAACCATTGAGCAATAGAAAATATATATAATATGCAACTCTATATGTTTTACAAAATTTAATTAATCACATTTTAAATTAAAAAATATAAATAGTAATAATATTTAATTAACTATATACATGATTTTATTATCTATATCTCTCACACATTTTTAATTAATTATATTATCTCCTTTAATGATTTTATTTCTCAATCCTCTCATACATATGTTCATCATCAAATATTATTATGTCAATTAAGTATACTCACACTAATTTAATTATAATAATCTCTCACATATGTTTAATTATGTTATCTCTTTCAATTATAATATCCTTCTCTCTCTCACACATACAGACTATCTCTCTTCCAATTACATCTACCTCTCACTCTATATTTCATTACTTATCTCATCAAACTTGCATACTTTTTCACGCATGCCTCGATCTCATTTCTCTCCCATGCATAATGTTTTTCTATTTCATCTCTCAAACATTTGGATATGGGATATGTGTGTTAAACACACACTCCAAACTTTCTTCCTCTTCCTTTCTCTCTCAAACACCATATTATCTTTCTTTTAGTCTCTCTCTAACACAAAAATACATAAAAAAACATTAATTATCAAAGTTACTTAATTACGCAAATAAAAGATTATAATATAAAATTTTTACAAAAAAAAAACATTAAAAAAATGTGAAAAAACTTTCAGCGGCGACAAATGTCGCCGCTGAAAGTGAGGTTCAGCGGCGACACTTGGTGTCGCCGCTGAAATAAGATTTAGCGGCGACAAAAGGTCGCCGCTGAAAGATATATTCAGCGGCGACTCTTTCTGTCGCCGCTGAAACAGGATTCAGCGGCGACCTTATGTCGCCGCTGAAAGAGACATTCAGCGGCGACAATTTATGTCGCCGCTGAAAGAGGATTCAGCGGCGACAGTTAGTCGCCGCTGAATCCTCTTTCAGCGGCGACGAAGGGAGTCGCCGCTGAAAGTGTACACTTTCAGCGGCGACTTGAATTGTCGCCGCCGTAGTGCACACTTTCGGCGGCGACAAAATTTGTCGCCGCTGAAAGTTGAAGTTACAGCGGCGACAATAATATGTCGCCGCCATAACTCATACTTTTGGCGGCGACATACTTGTCGCCGCAGAAAGGCCGACTTTCAGCGGCGACAATAATTGTCGCCGCTGAAAGTCATATTTTCAGCGGCGACTCCCTTTGTCGCCGCTGAAAGTGGTCGCTGAAAGTCCAGATTTTTGTAGTGTAATTAAAACCGGAGATTGTACTAGATAACGAGTGTCCTTGACATGGATTAAAATGAGCCCTTAGTCAAACCAAAATTTGAAGTTCGAACCCACATATTTCTATTAAAACAATCCAAAACCACCAAACAATACTTATATTAATGGAAAGAAAGAGTGCATTTGGAAAACCACGTAACAAAGTCAGACAAGATTGGAAAAATGACGAAAACATAAAATGGCCACAGACATAAAACATACAAGCCCTAAAAGAAAATGAGAAAACAAAGAAAATTCCTGCAAATTATTAGACACACAAAAATAGACACTAAAATTCTGAACATTTAGTCAGAATTTTGTTTTCTTTTATTTTTATGGATAATGCGGGGCCAAAGCCCAATTATATCATCATATTACATGGGAATGAAACACCCACAGAGTCAATGTACCAGAACTTACAAATTCTTGAGGGAGGCTGATCAAAAATAACAGTTCCCTCCTCAACCTCAAAACTAATTAGTTAAGCATTTTCAATATTCATTCTTTAATTTAAAGTCAGAAATCATAAAATCACCTACGCATGTATGCTGCATGGTTGGGCATCGCATGGTCCAGCATGTGACGCACAATCATAAAACAGATAATAATGTTCATATATATAAACCTTAGAATCAGGATATCAAATATGAATGTTAATTATTAATGAGAGAATAGAACTACTGAATAGTCAAGTTCTCATAGCCAATGCCAGTCACGGACAGCGAGAAACATAGGAAGTTTCATTTCGCAAGTTTGTAATATTACCTGTAGCTCTAAATATAAGAGTTAGATGATGGGTCTAATTTACTTTTAAATATAAGATTTCAATCAATTTTATCTTCTAAATTTATAATTCTTTTCCTAAATATCGCTATTGATTAGACACAGTAAGAAGATAGTTAGCTACAATACACATGATTATTAGAAAAAAGGTTTTCTAGGCAAATCAACACTAAATTATCACAAATAATCAACTTAACTAATTTCTTAATACATTCAAATTAGTTAAACAAATTAGGTCTTATAATTAGGATCAAAGGTAGTAGCTCTTATATATTTATATATTTATGACGGGAGGCAGTGTTATACTCGTCTGGTCCTATTTATAAGCAGAGAAAGAAGACATTTTTTTGTCCCATTTATCGTGCACTAAGAGAATTTTTTTTACATGGATGTACAATTTTAGCTCTCATTTATTATTGTATTGATTTTGTTTACATGAAGTATAATATAGATTAAACATGGATAAAGTTGAAAAGTTATTGAATTTTAAATGAGAGTTAATGAAATTTAAAGTTTTTCTTAGTATGTGTGAAACATGCTGAAAGCGCCTTATAAATAGAACCAAAAGAGTACATGGATCTCATTTCGCAAGTGTGTGTGTATATATTAAAGGCTGGAGGTTAAAAAAATATATTCGTCTGGTCCTTAACATAGGACCCAATTGTTGAGTTGGTTTTGGTCCTAAATATAAGACTCATTTCTTATATTTATCCATTTTCTCTAAATTACCCCTATAGATACTCCCTCAACTATAATTAAGTAGAAGAGGGAGATGAGGTATTAAGAAAGATAATTATGGTGTTTTAGGAAAAACACGTCACATTTTTTATAATTAACTAACTTACCTAACCTCCTTAATCTAATCAAATTAGTTAAATGGATCATATATTAAGGACCAGAGGAGTATTAAGGAATGGAGGTAGTATCATACATGAATCTCATTCCGCAAGTTTTTCATTGTGCTCGTGCGAGAACATCAAAGTATATTTATCTCATCGATTCCGAAATACTTGATGTTCTTGAAGTGAGGTCACCTTTTGCTGTTACTTATAAATGACATTGACAAACTCAATTATTTTTATATATTTTGATGTCTTTTATATGGGTTTTGTCAACTTAATTGGTCCCTTTTTGCCTTAATTGATTGTTAATTGATTTAATATATTTTATTTTGAATTATTATTTTATAGGGGCAAAATTGTCATATTTTGGTTTAATTGTGACTAATTGATTTTTTTGAGGACAATTAATGCTACCTTATCCTTGGATTTTGCTTGCAAGTTTTTGGAAGATCTTGAAATTAAAAAAATAAATTAAAAAAAGAAAAAATAATAAAATAATAAAAGGGGGGAGCAAAACGCTGCGTTGTGCTCCACCCCTAATATCTAATATTACAATCATCATCTTCAATTAGGCGGAGGGGCGAGCTGGAACACGAAAACACACACACACGCTAGTTGGGGGCGCTGAGATACACGAGTGGGAGGCGACACACACCAGCAGAAACAGCGAACCAGAACACCAGCGAGCACGAGTCGACGGCGCCTTCACCTTCTTCTTCTCCTGGGCACGACAGAACCAGCGAGAGCAGAGACGCCAGAGGACGTCGACGGCGAGTAAACCAGGAGTGAGACAGCGAAATCAGGCCTGCGTCTCTTTGATTCCTCCAACAGTTTCTTCCTCGTTCTTCATGGCTGGACATAGTAGACTATTGGAGGCAGTATTTTTTATGGCAGTCCGTGGCTAGCTTCATTATTCTCTAATTTAACAATAATGGCAGGAGCTTAGATCATTAAAGGGGAGTTTTAGTTACTTTAATTTCCTGTCTAATAATTGTTTAACAATTCCTAGCTCTTAGGATAGTTATTCTAATTGTTAGAAAATTTTGGTATTGTTAAATCTAATTATCTGTAGAGATTATTGTGGCTGGATTATTGCTTAGCATTTGACATTGGGCTGTTTATAGCTTTGATTTCAATTATGATGTTATGGTTATGACATTTATATTGATTTTTGGAGTTAATATATTGTGATTTTCTAAGGTGGCTTGGAATTTTGGATCATATTGTCTCTTGCTAGCTTTAATTCTATTGTTTTGGATTTAAGAGTTTAATTAAGCATTGGTTTTTAGTATCCTTAATTTCATTTTACTATTCTGGTTGCAGTTAGTAATTTAAAATTTTGGAAAAATATTTTGTAGCAATTTGAGGTGGCTCGGTTGTTGGATTAAAAGCTTAATTATAATTCTTAATTCATTGTTTTAACTCCCACATCTTTTACAGTGATGATTGCCTGCGTTGTTGAATTGGAGAATTGATTTTTATCATTGTTATTCGTGTGTTCATTTTCATTTCTTTCATCTTCATTTATTTCAATCATTTTTATATAAAAATAAAAAAAATTATTTTAATTTCAATTTAATTTAAGGCCTTTAGTTAGCAATTCCCCAAAATCAAAAATCCCTTTTTTTATAGTTTAGGTTATTTGCATTTATTTATTAGGATTTAATTTCGTTTTCGGCTCTTCAAAGTGAATACGACGCGGATTGTGCACTATATTGCATTAATTCGGTTAATTTTTGGAGTAACCCCAAAGCGACAAATTAAGGGCAAGTTAACTTCAGACATTAACACTTTGCGTCTACTCAAAATTCATAAATTGTTTTATTATGTTTTCTAATTTTCTTGCTAAATTTATTCATCTCAGTTCATTTGGAGGCGAAGTCATGCTTGCTGTCCATAAATATTAAACAAAAAAGAAAATCAATTTTTTAATGGTTTTTCATCCAAAAAAGTTTGAGAAAGCTTAGTATAAAAATGAATTAATGATACTAATATAGTACCATGTTTAAATAGATGAGTGTGTGAGGAAAATTTTTCTTGGAAAATAAAGACGTGGATGAGAGTGTGGTCCCATAAATTCATTTTGACCAATTCAAAGAACAAAATAAAACCTCCTAGTTGCTTTTGACCAATTCAAACAATCCGACGATTCAATTTCATTGAATTTATCGGGCATAATTGCCGTGGCCGCCCCACCTTGCCCCTGCTAGCCTATGGATGAACCTGTTTAGGCCCTTTTCTTAAATTTGTTCTACACTTTGCTTAGCTTACCTTTTCTTTTTCAGTGCAAATGCTAATATTTGTTTCGTGTTTATCACTTAATCTTCTTTAAGCACAAGATGATTTTAGGGCGTTTATAGATTTAACTTCCTTGGTTTCATTCCCATTACTAGTTTCCTGTGGTCATGCGGCAATTTTTAAAACTTAATTATTATAAAATGGATACAGAAAGGGTTTTTTTTGTTAAAAAAAAAACAAGGATCCTTTTCTCAGCTCTACTAAGCCCAAGTATTTGTGCTCACTTCTTTTTTTATGGGGGGAGGGGGGATTCATTTATGATATTTAATTATTTTCTCCGACTCTTAATCTAGACCAGTTGACAATCTAAAAGCCCAGGATATGGCCATGAAAAGCACAAGGACTATTTCACAAAAAATCGCAAAAAAAAAAAAATCGTCGAAATAAAAAAAAAATACACAAGGACTATTTCACAAAAATTATTGTAAAAACTCAACTTATTGTTATAAAAACCCATACTCATATTATCAAGGGTCTCTATTTATAATTTTTTTATATTTTGGCAGTCTTATTTTCCCATCAATAAATGTATATAAATTTTATACGCAGCCGCCCTTTTCACTATCTATCTCTCTGCACACACTGGGTAGACATGTACGTGCCAGAGTAATTAGTAATTATGGCGGATCGATGATATGGATCGAAATAGAAGCATGTAAACCCCAAAATCTAAGGAATTAAATTAAGTTCCTAACTAATTACTGTAACTCATAAAATTAGATCAATGATGATATACTTGTCTAGTACTTATTATTTGTCACTTAATGTAATTTCTCACATATTAAAAAAAGCATTAAATAGATTAAATATTTCACTTGTACTCCTATTATGAAGAACATAAATACGAACATATTTTTTTCCCTCATTCACTCTCTTTATACTTTTACTATAATTAATTGAGGCAGAATTAGAAATGAAACATCTGAAAAACTATACATGCGACAAATAAAAAGAACTAAAATTTCTTCTTATAAGTACTATAGTGCGGAGACAATCAGACGCAAGTTCCACGTATTCTAAGTAGCACCCTGCCTCACTAGAGGTGACTGTGATTACGCAGCTAACACTGAGGCAAGGGCCCTTTCCATCCGCTGAAGATACTATAATTATACTACCTCCGGTCGGGTTTTGTTTATAAGACCTTATTTATAGATTATAAATGAGGTCTTATAATTAGAACCGAAAGTAATACTACTTCCGGTACTAATTATAAGAGCCAATTGACTAATTTGAGGAGATTAAGAAAGTAAGTTAAGTTAGTTATTTGTCCTCAATAGGTGTTGTCTTTCCTAAAATATCCTTGCTAATCAAATGTATTGACTAGAACTATCATTATTAGAAGGGCTACTTTGGAAAAAAATGTATAGATATGAGAGACAAAGTGAATTGGGGTCTTATATTTAGGACCAAAATAAAAGTCAAACAGGGTCTTATATTAAGGACCAGAGGTAGTATATCAGAATTTGTATTTTACAGTAACAGAGACATTAGTAATTTTAATTTTCCCTCGCTCACCCTTGCTCTCCCTAATTAAACAGTGTCCTTTTATCTATTTATTTTTCACTTTTTGTAATTTCCTTAGACATGACAAAACTAATAATGAATGAGGCCAAAGGTGATATTAACCCTTTATTAACATTCCTTGCGATTTGTTTGAAATATTATTTTCCACCATACTGTCATCTAAAAAAGAAAAACCAAACCTGTACGGATATTACCGGGCAAGTGGACAAATTTGCACCGTGGAGGGGAATTATTATTAATATCGGAATGAGACACAGGATAAATATTACATAACACAACACACCAACAGAAAGCCACATATCTGTGTTTGTTACTCCCACGGGGCCTGTTTTCAAGTAACAAGTTATGATTATATCATATAAACCTGAGAAGTAGGTAATGGAGAATGGTGACACAGAAGAGTGGGCCTCAAACTAAAGTAGCGGCGGCGCGGGAGCATAAGTTGACGGTGGCATAGAGATGACGGGGCCACTCGTCCAGAGCCAGCCACTGATTCACCGGGAACGCTACCTTCCTAGAAAGGCCGCCACTGACGGTGATTTCGACGAAATCCAAGTACCACCCTGGCTTGTTCCCTTCGCCGTTGGATGTGACGGTGACGGCACAAACACTGAGACAAGTGCCTCGGCCGCTGAAGACGTCCAGGTTGCCCCTCTCGAAGTAGTCATGACCCGGTGCCATTATGCCCCAACTTTGGAGGTTGTTGACCGTAAAACTATTGACGGAAGAGGACGTTAACTTGAGGCCGATGATGGAGTCCGTTCCTGCATCGTTGCGATCTCCTGTCTTAACTCTCACAATGTACTGGCATTGCTGCTGCATATACACACATGCATATACACAACTAAGTAGAAGGAATAGAAGCTTGAAGCTAATAATAACGTAACAGGAGAAAGAGCAATTACCTACAGATGTAGCCATTGCAGCGAAGCTTATGAGTGAGACTAGAAAAACAAGACAAGACAAGACAATCCAATAACTCTGAGAGCCATTTTTAGTTTGTGACGCTACGTACTGGTCGATCGATGAGGATGAGAAACGCTGGAATAACCTCTCTATGCTTTTATATAAACATAGGGCGACATGTACATATGTGGACAAGTTGATAACGTGGGATGTCATCAACCTTTCGTTCTCACATAACGTGGTCTGAACACATGTCCTATATGCATGCAGCCCCACTTTGAATCATAAAGAAGAGAATTAATTAAACACGACCGCTCGTGATATTATATATATGGAACCAAATATCACCTCAGTGGCAGGATGAGCATGGCAGGAAACGTCAGCTGGGAAGCAAGTGCATGCATATAGTTCCCAAATTATTATACAAGTGATGTCCATGCGGTCAAGCCATTGCATAATGCATCATGTGTAATTTTCTAGTCTCTACTGTTCATTCCAGAGGGGAAAAAATGAGCCGGAATCCGACACAAAAAGGAACCCCAGCAACAAAGCCTAGTTCACCCTCCAACAATGTTGAAACCCTTAGATTCAAGTTGCCCAATATCAGCTCGGCACTCTCTTACTATGCAGAGTCGAGCTGTAGATTCTCAAGGATCCACCAACAGAGTGAAGAAATCTCTTGATATTTGATCTGACCTAATACTATTTGCTTACACAGATCTGTCATGGCCATGTATTAAATAAATAATAATAATAATAATAATAATAATAATAATAATAATAAATAATAATAATAATAATAATAATAATAATAAGAGTAGAGATGTAGAGAGAGAAGGCTCAATATTATTCATGGACATAAGGATGATACATGCTTCAAACCTACAGGTTTTGATTAACATGTCCTTTGGAACGATCGCAACTTGATTAAATAATACTACAAGGATTATGATACGGAGTAAATGTTGGAATATTTTTTAAAATGAAGAGATGTGTTTTTTGAAAAGTCACGTCCTTATATAAATTTATTAAATTAATAAATTTATATGAAGGGTTATGTCTTCATATGAATTAATAAATTTATTTGAAGGGTTGTATCTTTATATAAATTACTATATTTATATTAAGGGTTATGTAGGAAGTTAAAAAATTAAATGAACCTACATGCTAAATTCATTGTATTTATTTAAGTTATTTTGGTTCATAAACCAACATATGGTTATGACTTTTTATTTAATAGGGTTTTATTTGCAAAAGGTATCTCTTTAAGGCATCATTTCATGGTCTATATAAACCATTCACCTTCACTTCATTTGGGAGATATACAACAAAAACACTAAGATCAAACTCATTGTTTTTGTCTTTGAGTGCACACAGAGATATAGTCAAATTATCACTTTGTAAAAGCCATTGTTGTCTTTGCTTGAATTTTGGAAGTGCAATCCATATTCAAGGGTCTTTATTGTATCTTGAAGAAAATTCACCAGTCAACCCAACTTGCACCCTAAAAGATAGGAATAGGTGGGGGCGAATTAAGCCTAAAGGAAAGTGTTGTCCACGCCTTGAAGACATCGTGCATCACTTTCTTCTTAATCTCTTCTTCTTGTACTCTTTAGAGAACCACTCCCGCCAATAATCTTTAGGCTTACTTCACTCAAGCACAAATGGCTTCTTTGAAGGAGTTGACTACAAATTTTGTGAAGTTGGAGAGATTTGAAGGAGGCAACTTTCTGAGATGACGGAGGAAGATGAAATTTCTTCTCGAAACTTTGAACGTGGCCTATGTTCTCACTACTCCCAAGCCTCAAGAAGGAAGATGAAACCATTGTCGAAATAGAGAAAGACAAAAGTGGGAGAATGATGATTATATCTACACTGGACATATTCTCAACAGCCTTTGTGACACTCTCTTTGATGTTTATCAAGATACAACCTCTGCAAAGGATCTTTAGGACAAACTTGAGGCATGATACATGCAAGAGGATGCCATAAGTAAGAAATTTCTTGTTACTTGATTCAATAGTTATAAGATGGTTGATAGAAATTCTGTCATGGAGCAAATGCATGAAATTGAACATATTTTGAATAATTTCAATTAACATAAAATGCATATGGATGAGATTATTATTGTCTCCTCAATCATAGACAAACTTCCTCCTTCATGAAAAGATTTCAAAAAGAGTCTCAAACATAAAAAGGAAGATATCTCTCTTAAACAATTGGGAAATCATCTTCGTTTGGAAGAGGAATATAGAAAGCAAGATGCTAAAAAGGAAGCCAATACTCAAGAGAAGCTACATGTGGTGGAGGAAGGACAGTCCAACAAGACCTTAAAGAAAAGAGGAAAGGATAAAGACAAACCCCAAGCACAGGATGGTCACAAAGATAAGAGAAAGAAAGGTAATTGCTTCTTTTATGGAAAGGGTGGTCATTTCAAGAAAGACTGTCGTTTCTTCAAAAAGAAGAAAGAGAAAGAAAACAAGTCACCTGCAAAAGAAGACAATTTTGTGGCAGTAATTTTTGAGATCCACCTAATTGATAATGATGAATCATGGTGGGTGGACTCTGGTGTCACACGTCATGTGTGCAAAAACAAGAACTTCTTCAAAATATTGAAGGAGGAAGATGGGGATGTACTTTATATGGAAAATGCTTCAATTGTCCAAGTCAAGGGCAAAGGGACCGTGGAAGTTAAATTCACTTCTGGGAAAACTCTCACTTTAAGAGATGTCTATTATGTACCAGAAGTTAGGAAGAATTTAATTTATGTACCTTTACTTAATAAGTTTGGGTTTAAGTCTGTATTTGAGGCAGACAAGTTTGTTCTCACTAAGAGTGGAATATTTGTGGGTTAGGGTTATTTTTGTGACAACATGTTTGAATGTAATGTTGCTAAAGTTAATAATAGTATTTACAGTTCTGCTTATATTGTTGACTCTTGTGATTTATGGCATTATCGTTTGGGTCATGTTAATTTTGGCAAAATGAATGATATGACGCAACTTGAATTGATTCCAAAAACTGCTATTAATCATAACTCTTGCACTACTTCCATGTTGACTAAAATAACAAGGAAACCTTTTCCTAGAATAGAAAGAAGTTCTAAAATATTAGAATTGATTCCTTCTGATGTTTATGATTTGAATGGTTGGCCTACTTTGGGTGGCAAAAAGTATTTTGTGACTTTCATTGATGATTGCACTAGATATTGCTATGTCTATTTAATGCATTCAAAGGATGAAGTCTTGTACAAATTTAAGATATTTAAAACTGAAATAGAACTTCAATGTGAAACTGCTGTTAAATGTTTAAGGACTGATAGAAGGGGGAATATTTTGATCCAAAATATTTTGAGTCTATTAGCATAATACATCAAGTAACTGCCCCTTATTCCCCACAACAAAATGGTATAGCTGAAAGAAAAAATAAAGTTTTAGTTGAAATGGTAAATGCCATGTTATCTTACTCTGGTTTCTCTAATGGATATTGGGATGAAACATTGCTACCTGCATGTCATATATTAAATTGAATTCCTAATAAAATGAACAAGATAACTCCATATGAATTATGGAAGAAAAGAAAACCCAATCTCAATTATTTTAGAGTTTGGGAATGTAGAGCAATAGTTTAAAGTTCCAGAACCAAAAGGAAGAAATTGGGTGAAAGAGGAGTTGAATGTATCTTTTGGGATATGCTGAAAATAGTAAGGCATATCGATTCTTGGTGATTGAACTAAATGATTCATACTCTGTTAGTAAAGTCATTGAATCAGGGGATGCAATATTTCAAGAAGAAAGGTTCAACTTAATTCTTAAATCCAATGGTGTTTCTCATTCCAATGAGAAAACAAATCAAGAGGAGAATGTATATAGTGGCAATGACTTAGAAGAAATAGAACTTAGAAGAAGTAAAAGGGCTAGAAAAGCAAAAACTTATGGTTCAGATTTCTTCATATTTCTTGTTGAACAGCCAAGGGAAGAAATTGAAAATTGTTCATCTATTTGTTTTAATTTAGAAAATGATCCTGAAACATTTTAGGAGGCTATGAAATCTCAAGATGCAGTTTTTTGGAAAGAGGCTATACAAGATGAAATGGATTCAATAATGGGAAATAAAACTTGAAAATTAGTAGACCTCCCGCGTGGTTCTAAACCTATTGGTTGTAAATGGATTTTCAAAAAGAAATTAAAAGTAGATGGATCTATAGATAAGTTTAAAGCTAAGTTGGTTGCTAAGGGCTTTACACAAAAGGAAGGAATAGACTATTTTGATAGATATGCACCGATTGCAGGGATTTCCACAATCAGAGTGCTAATAGCACTTGCTTCCACATACAATCTTGTCATCCATCAAATAGATGTTAAAACAGCTTTTCTTAATGGAGAGTTGGAAGAAGAAGTGTATATGACACAACCAGAAGGATTTGTGATTCCTGGTCAAGAACACAAGGTGTGTAAGTTAATTAAGTTTATTTATGGACTTAAGCAAGCCCCTAAGCAATGGCATGAAAAATTTGATGAGGTAGTTCTAGCAAATGGATATAAAATCAATGAATCTGACAAATGTGTCTATAGTAAGTTTCATAATGGGAAAGGTGTCATGATTTATTTGTATGTAAATGACATGTTAATTTTTAGCACTGATTTGAATGAAGTAAATCGAACAAAGAAATTTTTGTCTAAAATTTTGACATGAAAAATATGGGAGAAGCAAATGTCATACTAGGAATCAAGATTATTAGGAATAATAATTGTCTTAGTCTTTCACAATCTCATTATATTGAGAAAATATTAAAGAAGTTTAATTGTTTTGATTGTTGCCCTGTTTCTACTTCATTTGATTCTACTATGAAATTAGTACCAAACAAAGGTTGTCTTATGAGACAACATGATTATTCAAAGGTAATTGGATATTTGATATATGCTATAACATGTACAAGACCGGATATATCATATGCTGTGGGAAGGTTAAGCAGATACACAAGTAATCCAAGTCAGAATCACTGGCATATTATG